CGGTGGGTTAATATTATAGAAAGGGCCCCCGAGAGGAACATAAAGAAATGGCTGGATTTTAGTACCTGGTAAAATAGTTCTCTACTCCAAAATAGGAATAGTTAAATCAACAAAATGACTTGGAGTAAATATGACCTTCCTTGGTGTTTCAATTTATTTGAGTGATACTTCACCAATATCTTATAAATCTTCATCATCTACTGTTGTTTGTTTCAGATGTTAATTTTAAAAGTTATACTGTTTTCTATCAACATAGCTTGATATATACATCCTGCCCTGAGAATGAATAAAATGAAGTAAATTGAAATATTTTGACAAATATTTAGAAGCCCCATAATAATTTCCATTATAGGAAATATAGGAATAGTTTCCATAATAGGAATTCATAGTGGGATAAGATGGTGGACATTGTCTGTGATCTTCTATGGACCCAATCCCTTCTTTTGTGGGATTATAATAGCTCCCTTAATATAATTTTGGCAAGGTTAAAGACAAACAAACGTGTATATCAGATGCTTGTGTGTTATTTCTCATAGGGAGCATTTTCTCACAGTCATCTTTCCAATGACCAAAGGGGGAGATGCTGACAGCTGCCACACACCCCGCACATCAACTCTGTGCCCCTCACAATGCCAGCAGGACAGGTATCATCCTCATCTACAGTCACATGAATTCTGAGGGTCCAAAGACTAGGTGAGATCCCAACCATTTGTAGTATCTTATTGTAAATTTTTGCAAAACACTCTATGATGATTAAATATTCTAGTTAAGCTTATACTCGCTGTTAGAAATATTGTCTGTTTTGTCTAAAGCTATTCATAGCAAAAATGTGGGTTAACTTTTCAAAGGTAGGCTCAGTGTTTCAAATTGTTTCAATGTGTAGCTATTAGAGGTAGAAAAACCATTTCTGATTATCTGTAACTTAACTCACAAGGAGAGATCACTCATAAGGAATTGGTACAAACTCTGGCTTAATCCATAGTATGTTAGAGCCAGAAATATTTTTCTCTTGAGCGGTGATTTTTCTTCATTTGAGGTTTTCTGGTCTTTACTGATTGGGCTGAGCAGGTGATGGGTGATTTCACGTCCCATGGGTATAGGAAGGCGTTCGTCTCTCCACCTTGGCACTGCTTCTCCTGCCTGAATAGTCGATTGCCTTTCTTTATTCCTTTATTTCACTTGCTCACTCATTTGCAGCCAAGAGTAGCTCAGGAGGAAACCCTTCCGCTGGAATGAAATATTGGCAGGGCGGAGAAAAACTTGCACATTATTACCAAATTAAATGCCTGTGTCTGAGACTCAGGGACAAGCATCAGGCCATGTTGCATATTAAATTCAGGGGAAGCTTTTGGAAGAAAGAAAAGTCCGTGTCACAAATTGATTTATGATCTTTAGGCCATGGAAGAATTCTCAATAGTCTCATTGTCTTCTTATTATTTTCTTTCTCCTCCTGCTCCCCCTTCTCCTCTTCTGCAACAACCTCTAATGCATCTTTAAAAATTTTAACATAAATACACAGTGCCCTGTGCACACACGACATATACACACACCTACAGAGAGGTCCAGGTCGGCTCTTCAACTCCACATTTGGCTGAATAAGTCAATCTTTGATGCTTGACTCTAAACTTTAGGTTCTATAATAAAGTACCACAAATGTGTGGGTGGAGGGGAGCTTATATACAACAGACATTTATTGCTCAAGGTTCTGGAAGCTGGTAATTTTTACTTGTAAATTCATATATGGTTGAAGGAGTTTCTTTCCTAATAGCAGCAAAGGAAGTGCCCTCATAATTAGGCACACAGCTTGTAACCACTTAGGCCAGTTCCTCGGGCTGTGGTGAAGGGTGTTTGCTATGTAGTGTAATCCACAGTTCAGGGTGTCCTGTAGACTTCTCCTTTAGAGATGATGGGATAGGATGAAGTGCAACATACAGTATTTCTAAAGTGATACTCTGGCTGCTCAATACTTAGTGAGAAATAAAACAAATCCTTAGTATTTCCCTTATTAAGTCCATTCTTATTAAGATACTAAATTTGGGGGGATGCAGAGAATTTTAGAATCTGAGCCATCTACTCCCAACACCCCAGTACCCTGAGAGTTAAGCAGAGGGGAGAGGAAAAATGGGGATGGCTTGGGGAAAGAGTAAACAGAGAGAAAAAGAAGAGGAATCTGATTCCTAGGAAGGAGGACTTCAATTAATAGATGGCTCAAGGGGAAAGAAAACAAACGTTTTACCTTCTTCTCGGGACTCTGCTACACACAGCGGGGGATGAGTAAGACTTTCCAGCAGTGTATGCACCTCTGTGACTTCTCAGGTGGTATAAACACAGAATCAGGGGTCAAAAAACCTATGTTCTCTAGCCCTTTACGGTTTGCAAAGGTCGCTCAAATATGCAATCTTATTTGATTCCACAATGTCAGTGAAGCTTGTCTACACCACAGTAGGTGGCAAAGCTGAGCCTCAAGCACAGGTGTCCCTTTTCAAATATTGAGACTATAAAACACACTAGGGAAGCCTTGTTGTGATATGCAATATACAGAAAGAACTATACAAATTCATATCCTGCCAAGAAATCCTACAGTCTGAATCCCATTGGCAGGGGATATGCAAAGTCACCTTAACAGTAAGTATGCCCTCAGCAAAACCCAATTGACTGTAATCTGATTAAAAGGATTAGCATATCAAAGGAAAGATAATGTGTCAATGAGAATTAGCTATGTAAACTGTGTCCATTCCAGTTGTCTGGGTTCCGCCTTGCAGAGAAACTGAGGGTTTGTGTAGTACATATTCAACCAGCACGGAGAAAGCATCAGTCTAACAAAATCTCATGCTATTAAAACTTCAAACCACATAATTAACTCCCTTTGCTCTGATATCATGTTTAGGAAGAAATCATCCTGTAATTTGACTTTCTGTGTAGCTTTTCTCCAAGGACAGGCTGTGCATGTTAACATGCTGTCCATGTTAACATGCTGTCCCTAAGACAATTCTATTTCACATTGTAAATGAGCAAGCCATCTCTGTGGTTTTTCTACTTCAGGCTTTGATCAAATCTACCAGGATGTATATCACCTTCTCCAAGTCTAGTCACTCCAGATGCAGGCCTCTACCCACCCCTCCATGATGAGCTTTTAAGAGAGGAATTGAATTGCTGGAGGCCAAGAAGCTGGGCATGAATGGTAAAGACTATAACCGCATTTTACAAGAAGTTGGAGGCTCTACTGTGAAAGAGAAATGGAGCCAGATGCCAAGTAAACGCAATAAAGGCATATTTTACTCAGTTCTTTTGCAATACGAAGGGGTCTTTGGTATAAAACCCAGCTCCATTCCAAATACAGAAAAGATTGCTGAGTATTTATAGCCAGGGGCCAGAGAGCGGTCCCTGGATGGAAAATTACAAAGAAGAGACATCAAACTAATGAGAGGAGGTGGGAAGACAGTCTGCTAGTCTGGCCTAATAGGATTGGGATTTTTGCTTAAGGTGGGCCAAGGACTTAGATGTCAAGGGTGGGGAATGAGGACCTTGATCATATATGGACAGTGATCAGATGTCAAAGATTCAGATTCTCCCTGAACTCATTTGAAAGGATTCTTGCTAAAACTGAGGCAGCCCAGGTCTCGGCCCAAGTCTGAGGCCTACTCAAAAAGATGGCTTATAGTGGTTCACAACCTGTGGGTCGTGACCCCTGAAAATACATCCTGCATATCAGATATTTACATTACAATTCATAACAGTAGCAAAATTACAGTTATGAAGTAGCAACGAAAATAATTTTATGGTTGGGGGTCACCACAACATGAAGAACTGTATTAAAAGGTCGCATCATTAGGAAGGTTGAGAACCACTGAACCTGACCAGAATTTCAAGGAGAGGGCCTCTTAAAATGCACAATTCCTTGGAGGCACTCTAAGATTTATATTTTGGGTGTTCTACTTCCTAGAGTTTTTTCACTATTCTATGCCACCTTGACTTTTACCCACTTTAACAATTATTATTATTTTGCTTCAGTTTTTATAATGTTGAATTTTGTGCTTGCAAAACATCCCACTGAGTTGATGAAATTCACTTAACCATTTCCCTTCAAAGTGCATGGTAGACCTGGCTCAGGTGACTGCTTTTATAATAAATACTAGAGGCCCGATGCATGAAAATTCATGCAAGAGCAGGCCTTCCTTCCCCTGGCTGCCAGCACCAGCTTCCCTCTGGCACCCGGGACCCTGGCTTCCCTCCTCCAGCCACCCACAGGCACCCGGGACCCAGCTGGCTTCCCTCCAGCCCCTGGCTTGGTCAGGAAGGATGTCCGGAAGGACGTCTGGAAGATATCCAGTATAATTAGCATATTGCCCTTTTATTATTATAGATAAGGACACACTATTACTTCTGTGGTATTCTTTTCTTGAGATAAATTTTAGGAGAGAGATTAATACATCCAGCATCTATGTATCTTTATGGTTGCTATAATATGAAATACTCATTTTATGAATGAAAAAGGAAAAAGGGGTTCTACGGAAAGTAACCATACAGGGTGATCTAATCATAAATTCCTGACTGGGTAGGTCATGGTGGGTAGTCACACCCCAGGCATATAACTTCTTTAGTAAAAGGTTTATCTTTGCCTTAAGCAAGCCCTGTCTATTGTTTCTGGGCATCTAGGTTAACACACCTTTGAAATAAGTGTGACCACCACTTAATCTTATTAACTATCCTGGAATGCAATCCTCACTTTCTCCCACCTCCATGTAATCTTCCTTACTTTCCCTCCTTAATTCCAAATGCATTACAGAAATTGCCAAACTATCACTCATTAGAGCATTTGAGATCTTGCTTCCTGGCAATTGTCCGCAATTCTGGCTTAAATAAACTCTTATGAAAATTCTCCAGAGGTTTGGATAGTTGTTACATGAACACTATTTTGGGAAGCTCTCAATACTTTATGTGTAACTCAGTACCCCCTTAACCTGCCATCTGTGTTGTGATTTATTTTTATTTTATTTTTTTCAAATATGGAATACTTCATGAATCAGGTGTCATTCTTGCATAAGGGCCATGCTAATCTTCTCTGTAGTGTTCCAGTTTTAGTATATGTGCTGTGAAGCCAGCGCTGTGTGTTGTAATTGAAAACACTAATGTAGCAAGTACAAACACTTCCACGGGTTTGCTTTCACTTGCAGTTCTGTAATTAACATGGATGGTTCCGTTTTCTGTTTCCTCTTGTGTGGGCTTTCTGTAGCCTTTTAAAATAGTCAAATTATTTATTTTATTAAATGTCAGGGCACATGGATATAAATATGACTGGAAGTGGAAGTGATGTGATTGCTGTAAGATGCACGACACAGATGAATTGATAAAGTGGTTCGGGAACTTTCCTGAAACCCTTAAAAACTTTTCCTGATCACAAATGTACGTATTTGGAAGGTCTGTAGGTAAATGCTTCACAATAATATTTAAGAATTTTTTAGCAATGTTTTGCAAAATTGAGCCTAATTCAGTTCAGACTGAGATGGATGACCAAAAAGAAGAGTGCTATAAAATAAAAACAATACTAACAACATTATATGCACTTTTATTCATATTTTATTTCTTGTAATTTGTTGGAAATTACCCTTTTTGTTAATATCTAATTATCTTATTTCTCTAATTTACTTGACAATTACACCTTTGGAAATTAGTAATAGTCACTATTTTATTCTTAATATAAGAAGACTTTAGCTATCTTAATTTACTTTTACTAGGTCTTACATAATTTGAATCAAGACATGTTATATTTTCTGGAGATTTAGAAAAATGACCAGAACTTAGAACTGTATACTTACAGAGATGATATGATTTTTATTTTTTATATATACTTATTATTATTGATAGTATTATAGATATCTCCCATTTAAAAATACAACATATTTTTATAAATCAGACAGAAAATCCTTTTTTCACCTATTTGGCTACTTTTTTTATAATGTAAATTTAAGTCAGTAACAACCCACTTAAGCGAGTCTCCTGACTGCTTGGGAATGTTGAGGGTTGTATTGCATGCTGGTGAATGATGACATTCAGAGAAGCAGAGGTGGGCTCAGCTCTTCCCTGGACTAGCCCTGCCTGTGATGTCTCCTGACCTTCCTCATCACTGCCCACCCACCCACCAGATACAGCCTTCTATCTCCTTGGTAAGGGTATTTCTGTGCAGTACAGTGAAAGGTTTTTCTCTCTAGCACAGATAGGTTACATCTATTGTTCTCCCCTGTCTAAAGTTCTGGCACTTCGTTAGGGAAGAAAAGGAAATTGACTTGTCATTGTGTGTCCTCACAAAGCACATCTGACTGTCCTCCACCACCTTGTCCTCATCTGGGTGATTGCAAATTGATTACTCCACAGTTTGTTCCAATTTCTTCACAACTATTAAAATTTTAAGCTGACCAGTTAGTGATTATAAAGATAAAACTTTTCATTTCAAAAATGAGCAATGTCATTAGTTCCTCCTATAATTTCAAGAACTCTCTATAGCTGCCATCCATTATCACAAATATCTGCTGATGTCTGCTGATGACTTCAAAGCATACGGTCTGGGCCTTCTGGCCTGGCTCCTTCCCCCCTGTGAATCCTCTCTCATTACTTTTTCCAGATCTCAATTTACCCGGTCCAGCAAATGCCCACTAATTCTCTGGATTTTCTTGTGTATATTGAATTTATTGATGTTCCTACCTGTATAGAGATGAATCATTCTTCTTCTACAAAAGAAGTGGGGATGTTGAGGGAATATAGCTGAAATTCTTTAAGGCACTGTTGTGAGTATATTCCCATTACAATATTACATGTTTTTCCCAGTGCTACATAACTTCCCAGATGACTGTTCAACTGACTATGTATGTTGAGATTCAAATCAACAGATAATTATTCAAAGATTGTAAGAAAAAGACTTTCAGGGTTTCATAAAATCTGTGATGATAGTGATGATAGGATTTTAGTTGTATGATAATGCATTCTGTTACAGAGCAAAGGGGTCTGCCCACTCAACTCACAGCAAAGGCAAATACTGAACACCCAGTTTTGCAGTGGAGAAATTGGAGTCATTTATTAGAGAGCCAGGAGAACAAGATGGGAGGCTATTGATTTAAATCCAAACTCTGATGGATTTTGATCAAGGATTTTTAAAGGCCGAAATTGAGGTTTAGAAGTCAGGGGTTGAGGATGAGGCTCACTGGTTAGTTCCTGTGCAAGATTCAGTGGTTTCCCTTGGTGTGATTAGTCCGATTCCTGATGTCATCTTGTTTGATGCCTTTGTCACTGTGGTCAGGTGATTTAACCAGGTTGAAAAAAAGAAGTTTCTACAAGACATATCATGACATTATCTTTAAAGCAAAAAGGCAGAAACTAAACTCTACGACCATTGTTTTTTTTTTCTTTGAAAATATATTTTTAGTTTTGCTTTTTTTTTTAATTTTTATTTTTTTATTGCTTAAAGTATTACAAAGAAGTATTACATATGTCTCTTTTTTTTCCCCGCCCTTGACAATCCCCAGGCCTCCCCTACCCCCCAGTGTCTTATGTCCATTGGTTATGCTTATATGCATGCATACAAGTCCTTCAGTTGATCTCTAACGCCCCCCCCCCACGCCCCCCAACCCTCCCCGGCCTTCCTGCTGTAGTTCGACAGTCTGTTCTAGGCAGCTCTGCCTCTGTATCTATTTTTGTTCAAAAGTTTATTATGGTCTTTATTATCCATAAATGGGTGAGATCATGTGGTATTTTTCCTTCATTGACTGGCTTATTTCACATAGCATAATGCTCTCCAGTTCCATCCATGCTGTGGCAAATGGTAAGAGTTCCTTCTTTTTTACAGCAGCATAGTATTCCATTGTGTAGATGTACCACAGTTTTCTAATCCATTCATCTACTGATGGGCACTTAGGCTGTTTCCAGATCTTAGCTATGGTGAATTGTGCTGCTATGAACATAGGGGTGCATAGATCCTTTCTGATTGGTGTTTCTTTTTTCTTGGGATATATTCCTAGAAGTGGGATCACAGGGTCAAATGGGAGTTCCATTTTTAGTTTTTTAAGGAAACTCCATACTGTCTTCCATAGTGGCTGCACCAGTCTGCATTCCCACCAGCAGTGCACGAGGGTTCCTTTTTCTCCACATTCTCTCCAGCACTTGTCGTTTGTTGATTTGTTGATGATAGCCATCCTGACAGGTGTGAGATGGTACCTCATTGTCGTTTTGATTTGCATCTCTCGGATGATTAGTGACTTTGAGCATGTTTTCATATGTCTCTTGGCTTTCTGAATGTCCTCTTTTGAAAGGTGTCTATTTAGATTTTTTGAGCTATCATTGTTTTCTGCTTAGCTAGCTATATTTTTCTATTATCTCAAGCAAAGTGTACTTTAAAATGCTTTTCCTGGAACTTGCTTTACAGGAAGGCCTCCAGGACATGACTAACATACTTTTTAATCTTTGACTGTTAGATGTGTGACAATTATTGAAGGAATTGAAATATTTAGTCCCCTGGCCAGTGTGGCTCAGTTTGTTGGAGTGTCATCCCCTATAGTGTAGGGCCTACACCAAAAGGTTTTGGGCTCGATTCCCAGTCAGGGCACATAATGCAGATTCAGTCCCCAGTAGGGGTAGGTATAGAAGGCAACTACTTGATGTTTCTCTTTTACATTGATATTTCTCTCTCTCCTTCTCCTTCTCCTTCTCTTCCTCCTCCACCTTCTCCTCCTCCTCCTCCTCCTCCTCCTCCTCCTCCTCCTCCTCCTTCTTCTTTCTTTGAAATCAATCAGAACATATCCTTGGGTGAGGAGTAAGAAAAAAAAACATTTAGCCCTAACCGGTTTTGCTCAATGGATAGAGTGTCAGCCTAAGGACTGAAGGGTCCCAGGTTCAATTCCGGTCAAGGGCATGTACCTTGGTTGCAGGCAATATCCCCATGGTGGGTGTGCAGGGGGCGGCTGATCGGTTTCTCTCTCATTGATGTTCCTGGCTCTCTATCCCTCTTCCTTCCTCTCTGTAAAAAAATCAATAAAATATATATTTTTAAAAAAACATTTAGTTAAAGCCTATACCTACATCTCTAGACTCTGTCATCTAACACCTACACATGTTCACTGTTAGCTGTCAGCTTCAATTCAATAGTAAACAAATAGGTTTCAAAGTAATTAGTAAATATTCCTGATAAGAAGGTCCTCTTACTCTATTTTTTTGTTTTTATTGATTTAAAAAAAATTTTTTAAATTGATTTCAGAGAGGAAGGGAGAGGGAGAGATAGAAACATCAATGATGAGAGAGAATCATCCATTGGCTGCCTCCTGCGTGCATGAGCACACACACAGAGCCCCACCGGGAATCAAGCCTGCAACCTGGTCATGTGCCTTGACTGGAATCAAACCATGACCTCCTGGTTCATAGGTCTATGCTCAACCACTGAGCCACACTGACCAGCCTTATTTTTAGAGACAGAAGAAGGGAGAGAAGGAGAAACTGTTTGAGAGAAACATTAATCGGTTGCCTCCTGTAAACACCCTAACCAGGGATCAAACCCAAAATTCAAGTAGGTGCCCTGACCAGGAATTGAACCCACAACCTTTTGGTGTACAGGATGATGCTCCAACCAATCAAGCCACCCAGCCAGGGCTCCTCTTGGGCTTCTTAATTAGGGATGTTAGGGAACTGTATTAGTTCTTCCAGTCATTTGCCACTTAGTGCCTATACCAATAATTTACTAAATGGCATGCTTGCTTCCTTGAAAGAAGTTAAGCAAATTACCAAAGTGCAGGGCACATTGAAAAGCTGTCCAGGAAGGGCAGGAAAGGCTGACAAGCTCCAGGACCAACAATAGCACAAGCTGCTGAGTTGGATTCAAAGCTGCACACCATTGTGAGACCAAATGACTTTCATTATTGATATTTATCAGATATGGGATATGCTTTTTTAAAAAAATATACTGTATTGATTTTTTACAGAGAGGAAACTAGAGGGATAGAAAGTTAGAAACATCGATGAGAGAGAAACATCGATCAGCTGCCTCCTGCACACTCCCTACTGGGTATGTGCCCGCAACCAAGGTACATGCCCTTGACCGGAATCAAACCTGAGACCCTTGAGTCTG